GAATATATGACATATTTTATCTGCTCAGCCATTAATATGATGATGAGTCATTTTCAAGCAACAAGAAATTTCAGTTGTTATCTTGCCATTGTTGTCAAAGTGTGTAATTGCACTGTGTGTGTGTGTGCATGTGTGTGTGTGTGTGTTTGTGAGTGTGCGTGTTGATGAATCAAGAAAAGCAGCATCAAGGGGTATTTTCCTCTCTGCTGTGTGATTTGCAGTAAGAACAAAGATGCGTAAATACAATCATTTTTCTTCTCTCCTCAAAATGCTTCTGATTGTATTGTCAACCCTCAATGAATTGCCATTGATTACATTAATATTTCAACTTTCAATTGAATGATCGTCCCTACAGATAATGTAATGACTGTTTTTGTTCATCTGATAATAAATTGATGCTGCTGATGAATAAGGAGGCGGTCAGAATGAGAGATGAGAGCACGCACTTTGTCAGAGAGGCACAGGAAAAGAGAAATGCACGTCAGGAGGACTTGCGCTAAGCCTCAGTGGGCAAAAGGAAGTTTGTAATTATCCTGACAACAATTCATATAGAGGCACAATCTGTCTCTCCTTCGCTATTCAGATACCAAACAATCACGGTGCATTCACCTTTCTTTTATTCACCCACCATAGTGATCATATCGCTTCCCTTTTATTGATTCCATTTAGCAGATTCTCTTTATTTGAATCTGGGTTATGAGTTTGCATATCTGTATTTGCGCTGTTGTGTTCTCATCAGTCAAATCCAGCTTAGCTTGTTAGGCTGCAGTGTCTGTTGATTCATCGCTAACAAACTGATTGTATTGAAGTGGCGTATTATAGACTGTTACTGCTGCTCTCATTTTTAGAATGACCCTTTATATTAGTAATATGTTTTTTTTTTCAGCCATGATTGACTAGAATAAATATTATGAGCAATGCAATGCTTCTGGAAAGGGTTTAGGGGCAGGTTTGGCTTCCACATCTCCTTTTTAAATTCGTACATTTTCATACGAATGAACGGATGTATGAATTTGTACGAATTGGCCAATTAATTGACAAAATGTAAAATAGTTACGCTTCTTCATCAGATCAGGCCGGATTATGTTATATCTAAGACTATAGAATACACTGGACATGTCACTTGTATAGTTTTCAATGGAGAAATGTGTAACGGTCGATGAAGCCCCGCCCTCTAGTACAGGAGCCAATCATCAATCGTTATAGACTGATGATTCTCTGGGGGAAGGGGCTCAAACGAGACATATGTTTTTCTGCAGACGTTCTTAATCCTCTAGAGTCAACAAACGCACTGGAATCTCAGCGAATACTTGCTTGACACACTCACAAAAAAAAAATTATCCACATAAAGCCCTCCACTTAAACAATTAATACTATTGTTTTCTGGTTTTGTGATGAAATGAACAATCATGCTCGGGCAAGGTTCTGGGCAACTGTGCCTAGTGTGAGTACACCCTAGCGTAATGTCCTTGTTTTTTTCTCCAGGTTGTAATAGAACAGTTCGAACATATTTTTATATTGATAATGTTTTAATGGAAACTAGATCTAATTGAGGTACTTTCTGTCTATAAAAAGATGTGATAATATTTTGGGCTGTTTTATTACTTTTTAAGCTTCAAGGATAAAAAATGCATAATACAATGTATCAGAATACTATCATCTTTTAGCTTGAAGAAAGATGTAAAGATTTTTTTTGAGATTTAAGAGAGTTCTACTTTGATCACTGTGATTATTGACTGCACTTAACAATATATATTTATTTTTATTTATACTATTTTTACATTTTTTATGCAATTGCCTCTCAGTTGAATTACTAGGAAAACATTTTGCTGGTTTATATGTTTATTACTACAGACAATTTAAAATAGAAATTTTATTTCATAAAGTTCAAGTTGATTCCAAAATGCGCCTACAGTTTGTGATAAAAAAAGAGACAAATTTTCAATATGTATTTTATCATTGAAGATTTCTTTAAAATCTTGTCTCATCTTGTTCTCGTGAACACAGTCTTGTGTCTCATGCCATACGTTTTTTAATCACACCCCTAGAATTTAAGACATGTTCTGCAAGTTAAAAATGTTTCCAATGTTACTGGTTAAAAACTGAAGTGGCAATGAGGTCTTAAAATGTATGGAAAGATTATAAAAATGTCTTGAGAGATATTCAATTTAACTCCATGATTCCTGTATACTGTATACCATGAAAAATATATGTTTTTTTAAGTGGTAGCGGTTGTAAATGACCAATTAAAGAACATTTCACTCATACCAGAACATCCAAATCATGTTGATTTTTTAAAAACGGAATCAAATTGCTACCATCAAAATGCTGACTAATAGAATACGAGTGAAGGCTTCTAGTCAGATTTTGAGGTTACAAAAATGTGTGCAAAAAACTGACATGAAAACTGTGCTAGTTGTGTTTTGTATGAAATAAACCGAGATCCTGTGGCCATTCAAAATCCCATGGCACTTCTGTCGATGCCAATAGCCAAGTGGTAAGTGCATCGACACATAGTACCAAGGTGCTCGCGGCGACATGAGTTCGATTCCCAGCTCCAAGTTCTTTGCCGATCCTTCCCTTATTTCTGCTCCCCACACTTTCCTGTCTGTGAAATCTCCACTGTCCTATCCCAATAAAGGTAAAAACCCCTAAAAAATAATTATTTAAAAAAAAAAAAAAATCTCATGGCACTTCTTTTAAAGGGTAGGGGTGTAACGCCATTGTCCTGGCCAAATTCTTTCCATCGGCCCTCAACCATCATGGCCTCCCAATCATGCCCATCCATCGAATTGGCTCAATCACTGTCTCTCCACGCCACCAATAGCTAGTGAGTGATGAGCGAATGTTGTCCTGTAGCTGCCGTCGCATTGTCCAAGTGGATGCTGCACACTTCCATGACAAATATTATCACACCTTCAAATGATGAAAATCTATTTTTTTTCTATCCACCTCAAGCTTAATGAACTCTTAGTTCCCTTTTACCAACAAGACTAAAAACCTTAACTGTGTAGTCTCTTGTAGCTCTGTTAGCATTACCCTACAGTTGCACAAACTGAAATTATGAAATGAAAACATGTCCAAAGGAAATGTCTATTTGGCAAAAACTCCTACTCGCATACACTTTAGACTCACAAGAGGTGGTTTTTCAGGCAATTGGAGAAAGCAATTGTTCTGCAAAACTGCAATAGAAACAGTTTTAGCTGCACTGTAAAAAAAAATGTGAGACAAGATTTTTTTGTTGATTTAACTTATTTTTATAAAAAAATAGACATATAACAATAGAAAATGTGTCTAGCACTTTTATCAATTAAATATAAAACATTCTGGCTATACTTCTGTAAATTAAGAGTTATTTTGTATCTCATTTATTGATCACTCAGGGTCATAAGTTGAACTATTTTTGGTTTACATTTCAATGCATGTTGCCTGCACATTTGTTCAGCACTTTACCCTTGATTCTGAATTATTTTGTTGATTTTTATTTATTTAAATGTATTTTCGGTTCAAAGATAATACTTTACATTAATTTTTGATTTTTGATTTTCTGCAAGTTAATGTTGCACACCAAACATGATTTTGTCCTTTAGTGTTCGAAAACATTTATGACAACAGTGTTTATTTTTTATGGGAATGGCATGTATATTTGCAGTATGTCTTGTTGGATGCTAACATTAAAGCTGAATACTTCAAATCAATTTATTATATATCATTTCAATCAGTATATGTCACTTTTGTGGTTTAAGTTTCACAATAACCTTTGGCGTTTCATTTGTTGTGCTTCATTGTCTACAATTATATACATTTCCTATTGATTGTCTATTTAAGACAGCTTTTGGCCCCCTAAATCAATTATTCAGCAAGTTTTTTATTCATTTTATTTCATTTGGACATTTAGTCAATCATAAGTATTTAAAAGAAAACATTTCTTAGTCTTTAGTCTCGTTGCCATAGTGACATGTTCTGAGAATAGAACGCGTTCTAAAGTGTTCCTGAAGCCTTGCATCACAGAAAATCTCTAGTTGGTTTGTTGTAGTGGAGTCGAATAAGTTGTGTCTTTGCATTTTCAGCGTTTTAATACTTGAAAATGGAAGTTGAAATCTCTTGCAAGATCACCAAGCGCCAGAAAAAAGCGCAGCAAGGCAAAGAAAGGCCTGGGAACGGCACTAATAGTGAGTCATATTTACATTGTGATATGAATATCCAGTGTTTTCCTGACATAATATTATACTTACTGTTAAAAAACAATGTTTGTACAGTGTAAATGTTTGTACATTATAATAGACAGCTGGTTGAATTCCTGTTTTTGTAAAGAGCTCTGTTAACAAATTCCTGTAAAATCTACTTCAACTTGCTTGCAGCAGTTCGCCAGTAACTGAAAATCAATTGCAGCTGTAAACACTGTATTTACAACTACAGCACTATTTATCTTGCTGTATATGTATTTACAGA